CGTCACTGTCCCCACCCAACCCAGCTCTTCCTTCGAGTAGAAATGAAGAAGATTATTTCAGAAAAAGCAGTCTTACTGGAGCTGACTTCATCGCCTGACCACCGTAAGTCATTGTATAGGCCACGTACGCAGTTGCAAGATTCTGATAGAATGCGGTGGCGCATCCTTTCCTACCTAATCCTTGAAATTGTTGCTCATCATGAACTGGTCTCGATTCAGATGTGGATGTTCATATCATGGATCTTATTATCAAAACCTTTAACGAACGAGAACCCAGCACCAAAACCTGAAATAGCCGTGAAGGTGCACCCTAGACTACCAAGTTACCGATGTTTGAGCAGTCTCTGGGCGCCTTCAATCCCATCACTAGCTCCCTCGAGCCTAGCTTTCTTCAGAGAAAGCTGGGTCACATTACATCTAGATTTGTTGGTAAATCGCTACTCAGCACTAGTGATCCTTCACTTTCAATCGAGATCTACAAACATTCCCCCACTTCGGAAGTGTTCAGCTCTCCGTCAAGCTACCGCCCAGTCAATCTTCTAGGTTTTGAAGCTATTCCGGAACCAAACTGTCCTCGTGATCATTCGGGTTAGTGTGAATACCTGATCTAAATACTTCCAATCTACTTGGCTACCTGACTCTTTCAAAGTGTTCTGTGCATCTAGGTCCCCTAAGGCACAAATACGGCTGCGATATGACGATCCTGGCAGCAACCTTTCCTACTGGAAAGAGAGACGATGTTTTTATAAGGTGGAGACTTCGCTCTCCATAGCTGACTTGTGTATTGATCTTCCAATCGTAAGAAGCAGTCTTTCTCTCTTGAAAAAAATTCAAAACGCTAATTTTGACTAACCATTTCCATTCCTAGGTCACCTATGCAAAATGATATAACTTTGTGATTTTCCAGGCTGCCTCTATACCATGAATTTTGCCTACAGCTTAACCCCAGAAGGCGCGCTCCTCCTGCTGGAAGCATTTGGCCTCTCCTTCTTCACTAGTCTCTCCTTTCCCCAGTCTTTGAGCTATTGAGCTTTCCAAGAGTCTTTAGACTGTAAGAGGCAGATTTGCAATTTTTACTCCTCAGCCGTCCATGTCCGATTGCTCTTCCCTACCAAATTTTCCCGGTTTCAGGGCTGTATTGCCAAGTTATGAGTTATGACGTACTCGTAGCATTCTACTGTAGACACCACCCACCTAAAATCTACCATAGATAGCCGCTTTTTTCATCAATCCACCCGCCGCTCTACTGGTCTATTTTGCACCGTCGAGCGAACTCGAAAATAGAATGTCAAAACCCAGAGCCTACAAAAGGATGTCATAACTCAATTTGAAGACAGCCTAGCAATTAGAAAAAAATTGGTAGAAACCAAATCCGAAAGTTGACATCGTCACGAATGATTTCACTGCCTGCCTCATTCACACTTAGCGGCGCTTCACTCTGCTCACGTATGTTCCAGTATTCAAATAGCGGACTTAGTAGCAAAAAATGATTCGTCTTCCTCATAATCGGATAGTGGTGTCTCAAGAGAAGTGCCCGAAGGATCATTCTGACACCGATGTCATCCTCGTAGAAGAGTATAGTACATCAATTTTGAAGTCACAGCTAGGTTGCTTTCCGCTGTATTCCATAATTGCCCAACGCCATACTTGCCGAAATCGTAGCTTTCATTGATTAAGATGCTAGAACCTATACATAGTGTACTGAACCTCAAACCATGATCCAGATATACGGAACCTTGAAAATCATTCAAGGCAAGCAAAGTGTATTTCTTAAGAAAGCAGTTCAACATTAAAGAAAAATCCGTAATGGTACTCTTTGCCCAGATAGGCGAAAGCGGATATCCAATGCGAAACATGTTCTGAGGAAGTGAACAGCTCGAAAGAACTTACAAACGATTTCACCACAGGTTTTCTGCAAGTGGGATCAACACGTCGTCGTCGTTCATGTCAAGCACGAATCGTCCTATTACATCTTCCATGCCATCATATTGGAGCAACGGCCACTGATCGCCGATAGCACCGTGAATTTCTCTGAGATGACCGTACACTTCTGATTGAGATACGCTCTGAAGTGTAACGCCTTTAATGATTTCAGATAAACCCGAGAATACTAACTGCACTCACCGAAAAGCCACACAACCAACAAAAATGTGTATTGCACACCGTACAGTGCATATGATTGCACCCCTCGCCTTTCTGGATCAGCGCTCCACAACCCGTAGGGCATGCCCGAACCCTATCCTTATGGCTTGCCAAATAGGCTTGTAGAGATGCTGCTTCATCGGCTAATATACCAAACATAATCATGAACACATGAAACAAAGATGGACAAAAGACAAAACTTGAAACCTACATCGAAGGGTCGCGTATACTTCACAGGACACCCCCTCGTGAGGCTCCATCATACAGAGACCACATCGGGAATGTTTGCAAGAATCGCATATAATCGCTCGCTTCTCATGCACTTCGGAAATTTCATCCTTCTTTAAAATAAAGCTCGTTAGTGGAAGAAATTCAAAGACAATAACAGCAACATTAGTGCAAACTTGTATTACTAGGCGACCAACAAAGGCTTATGAATTCACTTCATAGATTACTCCAAACACTTCTTCCACATTCCACGCCGCATCTACTAGTAAGACTATTATACTTACTACAAACTACCGACTACTATGCACGTTCGCCAATTCTAGTCGCATTTCTTCATACCTTATGCCTTGTCTTTTCTCAGATAGTAGGTCAAAATAAAGTTTGGAGAGGAAATCAGGATAAGAATAGATCAAGGCGGTGCACAGCCAGGCTGCACCCAGCGTGTGCTCTGGGCGTCATTTGTCATTAAGGAGGGATGAGGAAAACTTCCGAATAGAAATTCCTTTTTTTGACAATAAAAAAGAGCAACGACCAACGTCAGCTCATAGAATGAGAATAAAGTAGAGCCACAAATTTTTTAATGATGATAACTAACTAGAAAGGAAAACCGGACCATATAAAGCGATGCATAGAACGTTATCCTGGTTTTCATTTGATGAAAGAAATAAACGATTCACCAAAACAACACGGCAGCCTCAATCTATGGAAGCTTGAATTGTTTCTGGGAATTTCCTGGGTGTCAGTATGAAGGCAGCCTGTTTTCTAGATACCATAACGATGGGACTTCCGCGTGAATTTTGGATGCATTGATCTTTCTCAATTGATGCAATGGTCAGAAGCTGCTGCAAATTTAGCAAGTTTGTGTCACCCATACAACATCTAGCGACCACGCGATTTAGAAAAGTATTCAATCCACTAATCAAAAGGGTTAGATCAGAAAGTCAGTTTTGAAAAAAACTTTGTACAACTGTTAAGACCAAACATTTCTTCACCTTTAGTAATTTTAACACATAAAAATTCTAAACAAACTCATAAAACGCGGCCTTCATTTATTGCGAAACTGAGAAGTCGACTTAGAAAGGGATCACCCCAAAAAGTAAATCTCGGCAATTGTAAGAGTTTGGAGTAGTCGGAAATGATGACTCTCTCTCTCTTTCTCCCACATGTAAGTATAGAAAAATGTCATCCCAGGGAAAAGTGAGATTTTTAGGAGACTCAAAAACTTTCAGCGCCAGTGAAATCGTGGGCAATGATAAAAATGTCAAGTGAAAGAGGCACCGAAGAGTGAAGAGAGTCGTTTTCCAGAAGGGTTCTCTACTCTTCGGTGTCCGTTTCACTTGATATTTTTATCATTGTCCACATGACTGTGTGGTTTCCTTGACAAAACACCTTTCAAGGGCTGCAGGCAGTAAGTAATAATAAGACTTTAGTAGTAGTAATAACAGAATAAGACTTTCACAAACCTTGAAAATGCCAAAGCAGTCGGGTGTTGGACAACGCATCAACGATCTGTCGTTTTGCAGCAAATAATCGATAGAGCTTTCCACCAGAGGGAGCATCTTCTTTGCACTCAACCACGGCAAACGATTATCACCAAGTAATAAGCACTGCAAAGAGCTACAGGTTTAGAAAGAGATGAGTAAGTAGCGAAGCTCCAACTTTCACTTGCCCACAAAAAAAAAAGTGACAGCCGAAAGTTATTCATTTTGGGGGAATTTTCCATAGGAACTAGATCTGCGATGGTATAAAGTTTGCGAACATCGTGCTTTATGCGAGATAAACCGTAATGAAAAAGTAGAGAACTGTTTTCGAATGAATTAAAAGATCATGAAGGTCAAGAACAAACTTGAAGAGAACGATTGGGAATAACAGAAGAGTTTAGAACAACCTTCAAGTCATTTATAGAAAACAGTTGTCCGCAGTCCATATGGTAACATCTCAGCGGTAGATCACGATTTCTTACCAACGTTTTGACCTGCAAGCACTTAGGGTTTAAAAATTCATAATAGGTGCCTTACTTTTGTGGAAAATTGACTGAATTTTCCAACCTGATAGATGATGCATTTGAGACAATAATAGTGACCACAATCCAGGCAATAAAATGCATTGCTGACAGGTGACAAGCATACAGGACAATTTGGCTTCGATGAGTGATTGATCGCTGAGCTTGTTGAGACGAGCTGTAACTCTTTGTCTTTCAATTTAATTGAACGGGTCACTCTGTTGGATTTCGATGAGAAACAATTTTGAAAGGTGAGGTAGAAAACTACAAGTATTCATCGGGTGCTAACTTTCTTACGTCGGATCTCCTTCGCTGAGGGTTCCCAATCACTGAAGGATCTCTGTAGTCGGTTGGTGACGAGTCTGCGAGGGCGACCCCAAGTATCGGGTAAGAGGAGCACCAGTACTTTCCCACCTGCACAGGTGAATTCAGGCACGGACTCCCAGTTTCTGCAGTGCTGGGTCGATATACTTTAAGTATCTTCGCTGGTGTATAGACGCATACGTGTGTGGAGAATCTGTTTGTACGGTTTGTATCCTGCACATCTGCTCGGGCAGGACGCTTGCATTCGAGTGACAGAGAAGCATCAGGGAGGTGATTCGTGGCCGCCTCCGACATCAAAGTTCTTTGTACCGTTCGCGATAGCCTGGTTAGCTACTCGAAGTCAACCCGGGTCCGAAATCTTCTCCCCGAAAACGGCGTCGCGCACGCCGC